AGGTTGAGATACAACAGGCTTTAGAGATGGCTGTAGACCATGTTTCTACCTCTTGGATACTTCTGCCTCTGGTGTCACCAAGCTTCCTCCTTCCTCACATTAGGAATTGACTCCTTCACTTCCTTCACAGCAGCCCTATTCAGAACCTATATAAGACTGGAAGGAAAAGTCAGGAAGTGCCAGAAGAAGTGAAGCAGAATGAGAAGAGTCCTGTACTTATCTGTATTCCTCCAAAGCTTCCAGGAACTTCCATGAAACCCACTCTCCCAGGCACCTTTTCATATTCAGTCTTTGAAATATCAGCTAATTCTTTACCTTTTCCATCTGAAACTCTGCTTTTCCTAGTCCGGAGCTTCAAAGCCTTGATGGATGTGTCCTAATCACTTTCTCCCCTTCCATTCTTTATTAAGTGCAAAACTGAGTTTGTGTACACTGCCCAAAGGCCTCAGATCAACACTAGCATATCATATGGAACTGTCATTTATGTGGAGTTAATTCCCCTTTAATTCTAGCTAAATATTTATAGTGAAAGCTAAAAATGCAGTGGCATTTAGGAAATATTGTATCTAAACATCATACAGGGATAAAGGCAGTCATAACATGTATCTGTGCTGCAGTCCAAAATGTAACCCTAGCTTGTGTTGACAGACAGCAGTTTAACACAGCCTAAGCCAGGTATCAGTGCAGCCTGATAACACACACTTTAATATCAGCTGCTAAGTCTGACTAAGCCTCCAAGTAAGCAATGGCTAAATCCTGTGTTACCAGTTCCCAAACTGGTGACGTGAAAATAAGCTTAAATGCATTTTAATGAACAAACACAGCATCTTCAGAGAGAGCTGAATGCATGTGTAGGCAGCAGAATGGGAGGAAGTCACAAATACAGCTCATGTATCATGATGAACTCTACAGAAGGAACAAAAGAAAACTTGTCCCTCTTAGTTAAATCAACTCATGTTTTTGTGATCAAATCAATGTAGATTAATTATTTAGGTGGAAAGAGTCACTTCTGTTTTATGCTACATAAATATTTCTCAAAATATGTTTTTACACATATTCTAATGAGGATGTCAGTCACATATACTCTTATTATTGTAGAACTTCTGTGATCAAGTAATAAGAAAAGAAAAATCTACAGAACATTAATGGGCTTATATATACATATCACTGCTAACTATGTTGACAGAAATCTGTGAGGGAGGTATTTTACAGATCAGTGGAAAAGCTCTCTTTAAGTTTTACTGTAAGAAAAGAAGCATTAGAAGTCTTTAGAATTAAAAAAAAAAAAAAAAAAAAAAAAAAAGACACCAAACACCAAACTGCTTTACCGATGTCATAAATTCTATGCAAGTGAACACTTGTGGCTTCCCATGAAATAAGCTCTGTCTTTCATTTAGACATTGAAGTTAGAAAGTGTTAACCATGGTTTCTTACTCATCCAAGCAGACTTGGCAGTTAACATGTTTAGCAAAGGGCTATCACCAGTCTTGCACATGTGAGCATTACAGACACTTCAGCATGCAGCTGGCCAACAGATACACTTGTGAGGTCCCTACCATGACAGGAAACCTATAAATCTATAAACATATTAAATACCCACCCATTCCTCAGATTATCTCTTCAGACAGATAGACATATAGTTATTAAACTAATTATCATCACTTACATGCATAAAGTACAATCAGACAGAAACAAAAAATAAGAACTGTGATATTCATGAACTTTTACACTTCAGAGTGATTGTAGTCTGAGGATCATCAAAATTTTAAGACTAAGGAAAGAATCATCTAAATGTTTGTATTATCTGGTGAGCAGAAAGTAGCCACAGATATGGCTTTATGAATGATTTTTCAGTCAACTTTGAAATTTTAATTTAGACACTTCACAGAAAATGAACAGAAGCAACAAGGAATGTTTGTTTCAACACATTCTCTGCTGAAAATATTTCTATATATCCAATATACAGGTAGGTATATTTTCCCATCACACTTTTTCCATTCTGTAATGAAACATTAAAAAAAATTAACATGTAAATTGGCACTTCAGAACAGGGGACTAAGTAGTCTGATGGAGAAGTAGCAGTGCAGAAACTACACTTCCACCAGTAATAATGTATGAAATAACTTTCTAATAAAGTTTCTGTGAGAAAGGGATTTATTTTTCCTTTTATTAATAAAATTGCCTTAGACCAAGCTGAATGATCTTATCTTATTAGCATGCACGTGATTCTAAAAGCACAGTCAGATTTGTACACAGAAAGGTTACGTGCACAGATGCAACCACAGGAATTAGTTTTAAGTAAACCAGTAACACACATGAAGACAACTGTTATTAAAATAGGTTCTTTATTTCTATATAAGGAAATTGACTAAGAAAAAACTAAGAAACAACTAAACTAAGAACTAACTAACTAAAACTAAGAAACAACTTTTCTGTACTTCATTCATTCTAAACCATTCAGCCAACAGGACTGTAGAAAATTAAAGGTAAATCACCTTTTTAAAATTTAGGAAAAAATGTTCATATCTGATAAATTACTACAGGACCACTAGAAAAACTGGTAATAAAAAGTGTTCATAAAAGAGATGAATAAGGATTGTATTGCCATACATTCATACGTAATGTGGTCACACAGGTTGCTCTGATGAAACACTGTAGGATCTTCATGGCCTATTTAGAAGAAATAGGACCTCAGTTTTGTAGGTCTCCATATTGCACACTGGTTTTACTGTACATCTAGGTAGCTGATTTCATCATCTATATCCTGTTTATTTATTTACAGGCATCTTCATTGGGAGGGCTAGTCATGCACACAAGTCATAGAAAAAGCACTGCACACTTCCTTTTTGCAAAGGGAGCTATAGATTTAGACAGTAATCAAATTATACATATATGGCAAATAATATTTTCCTGACTATCAGGAGACCTTCTCACCTGGACTTTTATAAAAACTCCTGCAAGATACAAGTCTGTCAATTATTTATTCATTTTAAGATTAAAAATGCAAAGAAAAGTAGATAAAACATTTTTAAAATCTTGTAAACATTAAGCAGAAACACTCACAAAAAAAAAAATCTTTCGTTTTCTTTGGTAGATCAGATGTTTGATGTCATCTGGTAAACATTCTTGTGTTAACAGAAAACTGTCTTCCTCCAAATAATGCACTCTGATTCAGGTGGTGTAGACAAAACCATGTCATGCTGTGATGATTGCACTGGTTTAACTGAATGATGATTATAATAGATGATTTTCTGAATAAGTCAAACATTTTTAGACTTGTGGCCTATATCTTTTTAACATATCACTATTACACAAATTCCAGTGTTGGCATTATTGACTCTGCCAAAACTACAGCTACTGTCTTAACAAAAAAATTGCACTTAATAAGACCTGAATTGTCCCCTTTCCCTACACTTCACTAAAAATAAGCATAAATACTTTTGTTAGGGAATATATAAATACTTATGTATGAGACCAAGCAGTAGTAAGCATGAAAAATGTTTCCTTCTTCCTCCACTGAGATTTGGTGAACTACACAGAAAAAAAAAAAAAAATGGTTAAGCTTTTCAGATACTATTGGCAGAGTCTGCTCTCTCCACCAGGAAGATAACCTGTCAGACACATGTCTAGGTCAAATGAAGCTGAGAATCTATCCCATCACACCACTATATGTGTGTGTCACAGATTAGTTAAATAAACTGTCTTTAAAATACACCTAGAGTAAACAGTTATTACTTTTTCTAAAATAAATTAATGGCAATGTTTATTAAATCTAAGTTAGTTGTTAATAGTTCATTAACATCTTGTAGAAATCAAGACTGTTCTACTCTTCATCACCAAGGGGCACATAATGTACCTCAAGAGCAAGACACACAACAGAACCAGAAATATGCATGGCAGACTATATTGGTCTTTTTATGTCCTTTTTTATTTTATTTTATTTTATTTTATTTTATTTTATTTTATTTTATTTTATTTTTTTAAGATGTTATGTAAGATACAATTTATTTTCTAGTAGTTCTGCTCCCTTTCTTATATATCTAAAATAGTTCACATTAAATATAACTTCTCAAATCCTTACCATAATTAAAATCAAGCCAAAGAATGGAATTGATTTTAAATATCCTGCTCCTATATGCAGAAATTAAATTGACTTTTACTGCGAAGACCTGCTAGACCATTAAAAAATTAAAAAGAATATGCATTCTTTAAGGACAAAAAGAAAATCATTATTTAAGAATTTATATCATTTCTATTATATAACTCTGCTGGTTTTATAGGAGCTGAAATAGAAGCGTATTCTCTTTCCCTGCGTGACTCACAATCTTGTCGATCATGACAGAAGCGACTAAAAATACAATGCATTACTGCATGCAGTGCCTGTAAATCCCAGGAAAGAAGTAGCTTTAGACATTTATACACCTAGTCTGGCGACCAGGAGCTGGCGAGGGTGTCAGCGAGCGGTTGGAAAAGCGGACACTTTGTGCTGCCGCTGCAAGGACAGGAAGCATTGAGAGTTTCTGCAGCAGTGGCTGGCCTGAGATAATGCCATTGTATGAGCAGCCCGAGCGGCCTCTCCCAGCGCTGGGAGCCCAGGGCCTGGCGTCTGGCGGCCTGGCCCATGGCCAGCCGGGTGCTGGGCTCCACAGGGAGGGTGGCCAGCCCCACGGCAGCTTCGCGCGCAGTCCGGACCGCGCCTCGCCGCGCAGAGGAAATCTGGCGAGGCCTCCAGACTTGATGGCTTCTTCTTTACGAGGCCCCTCTTTTTTTTTTTTTTTCCTTTTTTTTTTTTTTTTCCACTTCACTCAGCTAGTGGTGTTCACCCTGGGCTCTCAGGGAACTATTTAAAGTCACAAGCCATAAATGAGCTGGTGACAGGATTATTCAAAAAGTCATACTTTGCTACCCCAAAATGCCAATTATGTTCCTCGCACTTTTTAAATAGCAGCCATTTGCTACCACCATTACACAGAATAAAAGATTCACTTCATCAGGCCAGTTCTCCGATTTTTTTATTTTTTACCCTTTTTAATTCTTCCAGGTTTATTTAAGATATATGTTCTGTTTAAAAGAGACATTGTTCTTAGCACACAAAGGAGTTCAAGGATGTGGCATCAGTGTGTTCCCACCCACCATTTGCTCTGATTTTCTGAAAAAAAATCATGTTAGTCCCAGTGCAAGTACAAAATCTACGTGAAAGAAAAAAAAAAAAAAGAAAAAAAAAAAAAAAAAACACCATCACACAAGTACGATATAATGCAGACAGCATCTGGTGCCTCTGTTACTGAGAAGCCACATTTTACAGTCCAGGCAGTTTCTCCAAAAGAAATGTTCATATGCCTTCCAAACATACATTTACACATAAACATAAATGCTCATCATGTTGGATTTATAGATCTTAAGTGTTTTGTTGAAATGACAGCAAATGGAGCAACAGGAGGTACAGCTACTTAGTGAGAATGACAATGTTTTCATTTTCAAAAGTATCAGATATTTATTAAAATCTCTGGAAATTATTGTAAGACAAGGAATAATTTCTTATATCAGCATTAAGTAAATCTATTCCAGTTCTTACACTAAATAACCTCTAAAACAGTACATGTAGTAATTCATAGCTTAACTTTATCATAAAATAACAAGTGTTTCAACAGGCGAGTTACCTTCCTGTATTTGTTTTATTAAAATATTTCACAGAAGCCTATCATTAAGTAATACAAATTTAATTTATTATGTATTATGTATTAAAGCAGTAAAATTACTACAGCAGCAAGCCTGTTCCTAACTTAATTTCCTAAACTGCATATGCAAAAGTGGTCTGCTATTTCAGACACTGCACTTAACCTGATTCTACAGAGGGGCTATGTGGAGTAAGATCTCGTCTGTGAGACTGATAATCCATACACCATGAAGAAGTCAAAGTCCCCAGATTCAAACAGTTATGGCTGTGTTAGATAACAATTTGCAGTTAAGAGAAAGATTTCACAAATAAATTGTGACATAGTTTTTAAAATTAGTGCTTAAAATAGTTTTTAAAATGCTTTTAAAACTTGCTTTCTTGAATTTTCAAATTTTGAATCCTCTCAAGGAATTGCATTTTCAAACTGCATTGTAATCCAGAATACTTTAGTATAACAACTTTCATATTTTTTAAGTCACACTACTTGTGGAGGAAAGGCTTCAAAGGAATATGAAATAACAAATTATTCAAAGCCCTGCATAATTAAAACAATTTTGATATACTCTGGAATAATATAATAGCAATTAAACTATTTCACACTTCTCAGCCAAACTAATATGGGTGTCAAAAAGTGGCTTATTACAAAATAGGTATAATTTAAAATAAATTTACAACAAGTTATGTTCACACTGGATCTATCAATATAAACAAAATACTTAAAGAGTGACATATGTAAAAACAAAGTGATGAGTAATTCTAATCACAACACATCAACTTGACAGGTCCTGAAGGTCTCATTTTTGGAGATGATTGCTCAATTAATACAAAGAAGAAGAAAAAAAAAAAATGTTTGCTTTTGAACAATTAAGGCCAAGAAACTGAATTACAAGCTTCTCAGTTCCTCTAAAAGTTGTAGTAGACAACAAGGGTTAACATTTTCCTTGTCATGCTTATTATTTCCATGCAGTGACAACACAGAAAAACTGGTAGCAGCTTAGACATGACCTTGGAGTTACCCTACTGAATGTACTTCTCTGAGTGTCTCCTTTGGACTGATCCACCTGGTTGTCCAAAGATCCAGTAAATATTTGCACGCACCAAGTAAGGAAGTAGCACTTTCTGTGTAGAGCTAGTAACAAGACACAACATCTCAGCTCTGTGTCAACAGCGAAAAACAAACAGTAGCTGCTAGTAGAGAACATCAACTTTCATGTAACAGCCAGCACTCAGCTACTCATGACCGTGACCTACACACTTTATCACACTTCGATCTGCATTGTGAAGGCAGAGACTAGATCGGTGGCCGCCCACAGTGCAGCCATGCAGGCTCTCTGGTCCTAACATGATCTTGTCAGGTTCTCTTCTCCATTTTTCTTCCTGATACGTTCTACCTCTTTAAGCAGGTGCAACAGAAGCTCTGTGAAGGAAGATGAGAATTATCTATGTAAGTGTTGGTCTCAAAAACATGTGCCTGCAACCCAGTGGCAAACAGTGTTGCACACCTACTACTACTACTAGTGGTAGGAGACAGGAATCAAACTGCAAGGGGCACTGCAACCTTTCTCACCAAATTGGTTAAAATGCAGTCAAATTTAATGAGAAGCTGGAATACAGTATCTTACCATGTGCACCTATTTTTCTATCCAGGAAGAATCCTATTTAAACAACAGTGGCAATGTTTTTTTTCTAACTGTGCTGTCCTGGTCTGTCTTACAGGTCTACCATCTAGTCTTTCCCACCAAGTAGAGCAATTTATTAATTCTGAACAAATACAGAATACCTTGTGTTTCAGTAAATTATTTATGAGTCAAATAGTTAAAAATAATTTGCTGAAGGGAACTAGCTTTACAGAACTTCAAGTAAAACAGGGGCTTTATAGAATCAAGAACCTATCTAACTAATCTGAGATCAAAAAGGGTCTGGCAAAATCCTTAACTAAGACTTGATGCATTTCCCTTTTTTAATTGCACGTTTTTCTTCAGCCTCCTGCATAAAGCACTTTGGGCTGCAGTTTCATATTGATCTACTCATATACTACTTTTCAGCAGGATCCACATTGCTAAATATTAAGGATTTAGTATTAAGGTTATTATACTATCAACCTTGATTTGGAATAAAAGTTAAAGGCAACTGAACTATCAGAGGGAGGTCAGAAAATATTATCTTTTTCCTTCCCAACTCTATTTCAGTTGCATAAAATGAAGATTTTCATAGTTTGGCAAAAAAAAAAACAAAAAACAAAACAAAACAAAAACAAAAACAAACAAACAAACAAACAAAAAAAACAATGTAGTCCAAGCTAAGTGCTAAGGCAACCCAGGTTTGTAAAAGGGTGAAACTCTTTATAGGTTTGGGCAGATTTTGGATCTCTACTGGAGGAACTCCAGAAAACCATTTTGTTACAACACTTTGCACAGCCCCAAAGATGACATAGATTATATTTGTGTAGAGTTTAAAAGAATAAGAGAGCCAGGTTCTGTTTCATCATTTTTGACTGTTGTTTTTGTTTGTTTGTTTGTTTGTTTTGTTGTTTTTGTTTTGTTTTGTTTTGTTTTTTAAAGAGAGGAGTGCCAAAACATGCAGAAAGAAACCAAAAAAAAAGTCCACAACAAAATAGTTTTTCAACAGATGAGGACTTGAATGGTGAAAGAAGGATGGTTCTTTAATGAAAAGGATCCATAGTCAAGCAAGAGAACAGGTGTAAAAATAAATGTTTATAATGAGCTCAAGAAGGATTAGAACAATAAGTAGTTGGAATTCTTTCGCCTCTGCCCTTTCACCCATACAAGTTCCAGGGTTCAGGTGTGATGCTCAAGTGATAATTTTAGACCAAAGTAATGGCAAGGAATTTTGTGATCAATAATTTGCTGTGGTTGGTGGCTTCAAGACTGTTGTTAAGTGACATGCCACAAAGCAGAAATCAATATTCAGATCTGCAAATACTAAAAATCATGACACTTCACCAGGAACAAAACTCCCCACAGAGCACATGACAGAATAGGATTATAGCAAAGTTAGGGAACCAAAGTTTCAATGTTTTGTGATTACAACCAAGCTACAGTTTATCAAATGAACTTTTTGAATATTTCTCAAACTGTTTGTAGCTGGACATCCGTGTCACAACTGTATTTTCTTTTCCGTGTTCCCAAGGTTTCCCCGAGTTTCCTCCTCTCCTCAGAACTCCTCTCTGCTTGCCCATTCCTGCAGTCTTTCTACCCATACCATACACTTCTGCAGTGACCTCTGCCCCATATTTTTCACTACTACTATTAATACTAGGAGTACTGCTACCATTAGTACCAGTGGTACTAGTAGTACCACTGGAGTACTATTTCTTCTTCCACATCTGCCCACTAGTAGGTTCAGCAATACCAGCAGAAAGCCCAGGCTATTAAGCCCTCTTGTGGACCATCATGATGGGAGCAAGAAGATTGGGATGAATGGAAAAATAATTACCTTCCATATGTGGTCAGAATGCAAAACATTGTCAGCAACAGATTTATATGCAAGCTGTGGAAAGTGGTACACTATAGCAACTGTAGACGTTTCTGCTCCTTTTCACTCAGTGTACAATTCCTACTACGTTCCCTTTCTACATTCCTTAGTCTTTCCACATCTTATACCTCTCATTTGTCCTTCTCCCAACCTTATGGTTTCCCTCAACTGATCTCTTCCCCTTTTTTCCAACTATTTGCATTTTAAGTTATCTTCCTTTCTTCAGGGTGCCAGAAAGAGGAGGAGAAAAATATAGGAACTGCCTCTGTCCAACTTTCACAGCTCAAGACTAGTTGTAGAAAAGGCCTTCCTTAACCTCTGCTACTGTGTTCTGTGGCATGCTTGGTAGTGGCAGAGGCTTTTTATTAGCTTGAAATGTAGTGAAAAATCCAAGCATATAAAATTATTTTGTTGTTGTTGTTTATTTATTTATTTATTTCAGTAAAATTATAGGAGGTACATCTCCTGTACTCCACAGCTCCACAGTAATTCCCTGCTTGCCTCTAAGCATCTGAAATTTCAAGTCCATGTGCCAAATAAGATAGCTGCCAGATTATTGCAATTTAGTATTAATTAAACACCAAAACACTAAAACATGGGTAAGGAATGTACTTTTCCAAATCTCATCTTTAGAGGATTAATTATATTCTGTTTACATTAGAAAATGACACCAAAGGTGCTATGAGCCAGAAACTCATAGAGGAAATTTTCCATCCAAATTATTTCAGTTTGACAGTATTAAGATGTTAAAATAGGAGGTATGGGCATCTGGGTAGGGGCCTGAGAAAGTGCAAAGTGTGATTAATTCCTGTGTGATCACTGTGGTATGATCCAGAAGGAAATTCCAGAAGAGAATTCCAGCAAGGAAAATAAAATTCCAGATTCCCTGCCCATTCAAAGATGTGGTCTATGGAGTAATTTTTGCTCTTAATACAAAATTAAGTCCATGTTGAAAATGAAAGTGTTTTTGAAAATCTTTCTTCAAAACTCAATCTCTTATTGCTCAAAAATAAAAACAAAGTATTAGGAACCTTACACAAGTTCAAAGATAATTAAGAAGAGGCAAAGGTTTTAGGTGACTGAATAGAGGCAAAAGCCTAGCCCGGATCCCCATGGCACAGCCTTTCTTTCCCCTGCTTTTTACCTGACACAAGAGAGGAGATGAGGGGGAGAAAATGAGAAGAAAAAAAAAATGTTTGAACTATGATATCAGAAAGGAAAAAACTTACAGTTCTGCACAGCACATGGTCATTTTTGGCTTCTTGTGACAGGTTCCTGGAATAGAGCATGCTGCTGCTCTGGGAATAGGTGAATTCTGAATAAGGGCTTGTGGGGAGACTACGTTTCCCAAGAAGTCTGCACCTAGAGAAAGGAATCCACAGTACAATGAAAGATGTGATCCTGCTGATATACTACTTAAGAAAACAAACTAAACTGGTAAAATTGTATATCAAGAGGAATTCACCCTTATATCATTTGGGAAAGATAACAATTTTAGAGGATAAAGTTGTCTTATCTAATAAAAGTCAAAAGAATAGCACAAAAACGTAAGTTAAGTGAAACAATGGGAATAAACAGTTCTTAAATGAAGTGGAACAGCAAGAATGTAAATCTGGCTGATGGTTTAGGTAAGAAAAAAAAAAAAACAAAAAAAAAAAACATTAAAGTGATTTGCATGTTTAAAAGCAAAAATAATCAGAGATTGCATATTTTCTGCTTTTCATTATTCTTCTTATCATTGAAGACAACCGTCTGTACAGACCATATCCTTGCTCGGTGTAAATTAAAACAAATACTAATTTTTTAACAGATAATTTCAATTTACATGCATTATATATTTTTATACCCTTTCTAGATATGGAAGCCATGCTACATGTTCTTGCTTCCTACTGAGGAGCAACCAGTTTTCAAATACCTTATCTGTACAATAAAATCAAGCAAGGACAGGCTGACTCACATGCTTGCTGATAGACATTACAGCATTACAATGTAAGGAAATAAAGTAATGCAGGATTAACACAAGTCTTTTTAGAGGCACTACTCCAAGTTTTCTATTGCTTTGAACAGCACCTATAAAGTGGCAGTGACAATTTACTCTTCTTGCAGATTGAATATACAAGATTCCAGAGGCAACTACTTTGTTGCAGTTTTGTTGTTGTTGTTGCTGTTTTTGTTTGTTTGTTTGTTTTCACAGCACTCACATTAAGAATTATATGCATTAGTTAATTTACCAGATATAAACTGCATGCCATTCTTTAAGCTTGTTTTCAGTTGCACTGGGAATAACTCCTTAAGCAACAACAACAACAAAAACCACTTGTAGATAGCAGATGCATGTGAACTACCACATTTCATAAAATGTCTGAACAGGTCACATCTTACAGCAGTTGATGTTTAGAAATGCTGTTTACAGAAACAAATGCAACATGGAGACCACACATACCGTATTTAGCGTTTTGGGTATGGATAATATTTTGTTTCACCTTATGAAACAAGTTACAGCAAGCAGGTTTTCATCTTGAAATGTTACTTACAGTTCAAAGGAGGGCCTTGTGTGGAATGGACCTTATTGGTGAGATACCCATCATTTAATTTTTTTGTAGTGTAGCTAATAATTAGCATTTTATTAGGAGTTTGAATAAATAGGGCCATCCCTAGACTCAGGAAATTTTAAAATGCATACACAAAGCCATTTTTCTGTCCTCTTTATGTCTTGATATTGCCCAAATGCACTATGTTGTAGCACAAAATGTCCTGATTAAAGATAACCAGTTACTTAATAACAATTAGCACTATTACTCTCATTTAATTTTCTTAAACTGCAGAAGCAATGAGGACAGGCCACCAGGGAGAAGTTTGCTTTAGTAAAGTCCTGTTAAGACTTGATAATACCAAGCTTAGTAAACAGCAACTATTAAATTGGCACTTGCTTATACAACTGGTTCCCCTGCTGCAGCCCTCTACTACTTCAGGGAGTAAGTTGCAAGGCTAGTGTATCTAAACCAAACCATTCACATATGCCTGTCCGGAGAAATTAAGCTGGGGTACAAATCTGTCATGAGTCATCAACACATTTTTTTTTCGCTCATCAGGTTAAAATAGAAATTAAAAGTTATTTTCAGAAAGACCCAAATACAACCTCTGTTATTTTGCCCAAATTGTCTTCCAGATCACAGTCCCGCATGCTAAGAGCATAAAATAGAGTAAAACCAATCTCAACCACTGCTGGGTTCACTTTGTCATCAGTCAGAAAAGTAAGAAATGTACCTGCTCTGGTGCTGCTGGCCAGGGATTTCTGGGCACAGTCTCCATTTGGAAAAAGGACACAGGGAATGGCAATTTCAGCTAAGGTTTCACAATCACTACCAGCCTGGAAGGTAGGACTATGGGATTTAAAACAACTTATACCATCATCATGAAGTTGTGCTTTGGGGGTGATTTCCCCCTTGGATATTCATTCATGGCATATCTATCTTTATGGCATAATTGTAGGATCTTAAAAAGCATTTCTGAAACACAATTTTTTTTTATATTTGTATGTTAGTATGCTAGGTTGTATCAAATTCCAGAAATCTTCCCAGGAAAGACACTCTGGCTTGCAAATAAACTCACACACAAAAATTCAGCTGCAAGTTTTGAGATTTTTTGGTAGCTCTTCAATATTTACATTACTACAGCAAAAAGTGCTACAATATGGAAGCTTCAGTGACAGAAAAAATGACTGACCTGGATTTGTTTTGTGTTTGAGGTAAAAGTATGGAAATTGAACAAATGGATTGTGATTCCTAAGTTTTAAATTTGGAATCCTATTTGGACTCTCTTATTATTATTTCCATGTCTCTTTATCATATGAATAAGCATTAGCACAACTAGTAACCATTCCCTTTTATTTTTTTTTTGTCTTTAAGATATGGCATTGTGAAAGTTTTATTCTTATAAGTATTTTTCTTACAGACATTTCATTTTAAAATCTCACCAAAAATATTTCCCTGACTTCATTGACCATTATCTTTATTATTATTATTATTATTATTATTATTATTATTATTATTATTATTATTATTATTATTATTATTGTAATAGTTATATTTACTTAATTTCTAGTCAAGAGCCCAGAACTCTGATTTCTTAATTTCAGCTTAGGTACCAGTCTTACATATATATGTGCATGCACACACCCCTCCCTCCCAGCTTACACTAAGCCAGGACATAAGTTTACTTCAGCAAGATGCTTGTTTTGGAGAAGTCAGCACGTGCTCCTGTAGTAGGCACATCTTCACAGGTGCTCCTTACAGGAGGTGCTGCTCTGTCAGGCAAGGATACTCATAGTATCATTAGCCCTCTAATGTTTATACAATCTTCTAATAGTAGTAACCTGTGTTAATTTCCACAGCTATATACTGAAATTTTGGCACATGTTTAATGTAAGCAGGTCCAGTCCTGTAGTCCCAGCACAGGCAAGTCTCCAACAACTCAGTGAACCAGCAATTTGCCTGGCTAAATAAAAGGCATGATTTCATTACATTCATACTTTAATACACGCAGAAAGAAGAAGTGAAAATCCTCCCTCAATGCTCATTTCTTATATTCTCAGCGTCGACATCCAGCTGGACAGATAGCTTGATGTTTCACATAATTCTATCAGCTAATCCCTTAATACTATTAAGAAAAAAATGAAAACATGGGCCTGAAATCACAAGGCTACAAGAACCTCCTTTCAGTTTTACAGAGAGAACTGCAATGGGCACACCAAAAGCACAATTTCCTAGCCCTTAAAAATTGCCATCAAAGCTGAATGCAGGAAGAAGACAACAGACCAGCAGCCACCACACACACACCCCAAAACCTTCAGCCTGCTCATACCAAAGTGAGCATGCTGACATTTTCATGTGGTTGACTAACTTTTCTTTATGGCTACCATAAATTTAACTTGTTATAATTACTGTCAATAAAATTAATGAAATTACAGGCTGCTCAACAAAAGGAATATCAATCTGTAGCATTTTATTAGGTCAGTAAGACCTTCATTTATCACTGGTACACTTTGTGTAAGGCAGGGATTTGGCTCACGATTTGTAACTGTTGTAATTTCTTAAAGCTACATTCCAGGATCTTAGAAGCATCTAATATATTGATTCTGCTTGCTTGATCAAGAAAATGCTTCTCAAATTAAGGAGAACTTCTGAAAGACTTTCTAAAGACTTAGTATACCTTCAGTACTGAGCCAAATGCAAAAAGAATAGCAGGTTAGAAAACAAAATGAAGCAAATTTTCATAAACTGCCAATTTGGAAAAGTATCTTAACCACAACTCTTTTGAAGAAGTTCTTGTAAGGTTTTCCACCTTGAGGCCACAGGCATGAAAAAGTCTATACCATGCTAGTTGCCTGTTTACTGGAAAATAAAGAGATTACTGAATTCTTTGCGTTTGTGACACAATAGTTTCTTTTTTGTAATTAACCTGAAATCATGCAAAACCCTTTACAGTATTAAAAACAAAAACAAAAAAACAAAAAACAAAAAAGAGCAACATATATTCAAAAACAATTGTGTAACTGAATTGCTCTACAGAGACTGGCCCTGGCTGGCTGGTGCTCTGGTGTCAGAATCTAGTTTTTGAGTCTCAGAAAACACTGATGATGGGAAATACACTGGAGTTTCATTTTGAAGCTTTCCGTATTCTTACTTTCAGAACTGAGTTATTTCATAATCTGCCTTCCATTTTCAGCCAGGTTCCAGCCACTGAAGAGTTCAAATTTCAGCAAAAGTCTTAGGACTCAGAGTTTATATTATGCAAAACCACAAGCATTACTCTAATAGAAGAAAAAAAAAAAAAAGAAAAAAAAAAAAAAACAGTTGAACAAATACACACAAGTTGTACTGTTAAGTCAGGCTTAAGAAAAATTATTTATTTACTTTTTAGAGTCTTCTGACCTTGCTTTAGTAAAAAGCCAATTTTGGCAGGTTATGTCTGGTGATCACAAGTTTCTGCGAGCACTCTGGGCTCTCAATGAAACAATCAGCTCCTGTTCACAGGAATGATAAAGGCCTAATAGATATATGTGTATATGCATATATATTTCATGCTACAGCTTTCAGCCATCAGGAGAGCAGAACTATGTTTTTTGGTTTTGACAGGGGAAATAAAAAACAGTAGGTTTTTGTTGTTGTTGTTTCAAGAAGTCTAACCTGAATAGCACAGGCTGCCTACCCTAAAGTTTTACACTGATACAGATATAATCACAGGAGTAAATGGGACAGTATTTGATGAAGATATATTCTCTTATGAAGAGTGATTCTTGCTTTATTCCCAAACTTTAATGTAAGTACATCAGAATAAGTGATTGCCAAAAATAGTTCCTTACCATACAACTCCACTGTTAAGAATTTTTTTTTCTCACTTTTACGTGGAGTTATACAAGACCTGTGGAAGGTTTCTTATTTGATAAGCAACAGAAAAATGGGGATTTAAACCCATACAAATTGATATGAGTCAAAATATGTAACAGCATTTTTCACAACACCTAATTAAGCTGAAGCGTAGTAAGCAACAAGTGCCATCAAGAATCTATGCTAAAAAGTTATAACACATAAGTTATCAAGTCCTTTAGGCACTGGAAACAAGAGACAGATTTTGTACCTTTTTGTTTAGATGGGTTTGAAAATAAGAGATTTGGCTAGAATTCTGCCATCATTTGAAGGATATCATATATGCAAATACAATAGTTTCACTATATATACTGGTTGCTGTAGGCTGGCAATATAAGTATAGTAGAAATATAGAGTATATATATATGATATATATATAGTAAGTATACTGCCCCTTTATGTGAAGTTCACGCACCACAAGAAATTAATTGTCTACTTTCTGTTGCACATAACATTTAACTAATGATGATCCTGCCCTTCTCCTACACCTTCAGGATTTGAAGACAAGTCTCTTAGCTCTCAGCAACACTGGATATTGTCTTCTAGTCTTCAGCGATTAACACCCTCTTTTCAGACCAGTCCCAAACATAATGAAGAAAGCAAAGTAGGGACCTGCCAATTTCACACTGAATTTTTTGGGGGTTGATATTGCAAGCTTGCCTTTTAGTAATTAACTGGAATGAGGTGTTTATTTTATAGTATTTACCTGTTCACGAGGTTTACTAAAGTCGGGCAATTAAAAATAAAGAATCTTTTAACCTAGCTCTATGCAAATTTACCTGCTGAAGGACAGGAAAAATTGCCCTGTCCAGTGAAAATGAGGAAGCTTTGTAATACACCACAGTTCTTTGAATACAATTAGACCTACTTCCATTAAAAAAAAAAAAAAAAAAAAAAAAAAAAAAAAAAAAACTATAAAGACAAAGTTCTTACTTTGGTGGGGGAGTAGGGAGTGGGGGTGGGGTGGTGAAAGGAGGGTGTCTTTTTCCTGCTAAGCTTTCTCAGGTCAAATTTCAATATAAAAGACCAGCTTGTACTGATAACCTAGAAATAAACCTCATCAAAATTATGAGAATACTTTAAGAGAGCAAATCTGCTCTACAGCAAAGAAAATTCTTTCTAGCTCTACTGATGAAGGACTGCCACTGACCTGCCTAACCACAACAGCAACCATCATTGGAGTTGTCACGACAATTAGTGTTTAAAACAACAACAACAAGCAACAGGAAACTGATTTAGAAATACAGGGACAACACTTATTCGAAAACAGAGCTCAGTTCACACTTTTTTTTTTCAAGTAGTAATAATGAAAAGATTAAGATTTTAGGGACTTTAGAGTAAAATTTTGTGCTTATAAATCACTTCTCAACAAATTAAAATAATAAAATAAAATAAAATAAAATAAAATAAAATAAAATAAAATAAAATAAAATAAAATAAAATAAAATAAAATAAAATAAAATAAAATAAAATAAAAGTCTCCAAAGCTTTATAAGGAACTAAATGGTGCCCACAAGAAATCCCATGAAAAGCAAGCCATCACTTCTCTCATGGTGTTTGCCTCTCAACTACAGAAAAACCTCCTCAATTTCTGGTTTTAGAGTGCTGCTGGCACAGTCTCTCCAAGGAAATGTTGGAATTACCCTTCCTTTATTAAAAGTGTGTTTTTCAGTACTTATTCAATTTGAAATACATTTTAAGGCTCTAAGAAAAGGATTTTTTTCTTAGGTGTTGGCTTTACAGCTTGGGAGAGTTTATCAAGGAAGATCGCAGTAAAGAATGATAGTTTACGTCCTCAGATAATTATTTAATTTAGAACAATGAAGCTGAGTTTGGAAATTATACCTGTCACTTTAAATATGCCTCCTCTTGATTTAACGCTGATTCATGGCACAAGACCCAGTTTCAAAATTACGTCAAAATGAAAGCAGTGGTTTTTAGATGACATG